TCCCTCCCCCTCTGGTCCTCCCCCAACTCATGCAATCTCTCTCTTAAATAAATAAATATCTTTTTAAAAAACAGGAAAGATGAAGGGAGTGTCAAAGGGACTCATCCCAATGGAGAGGGAAATCTTTAAACAGTTCTTAAGAAATAGAGTGGACATTGATGGGATCAAAACAAAGGTCTTAGTGCAGGGCTCTTGGAGTTTGGGTGGACCAGCTGGTCCCTCAACTTTGAAGGATCCTAATCAAGTCTGTTCTAGTTACCCTAGGTTAGAGGAATTTCAAAAGCCAGAACGCAAATGTGACAATGGGACCCTAACTTCAGATTGCCTGAGATGATGATTCCATTATCTAATCAAGATAAAAATTGGTAGGTTTCCTTGGCTCCATGCCCAGCTGGAGACTCAAAGCCATAGGCACATTAGTGGTAAAGTGGTCTGGAGAAGAGATATATCTGGGATTCCTTAAGCTGGGAGGCCCATGCATTGTGAGTCCTAGTGAGAATTGTAGTTAGCTTGGGAAGATATGAGAATACAAGGATTGAGGGGGTTAAAGTGATTTTTAGATGAAAAATGGAATACTTAAACAGATTTTATGTAAAGCGATTGTGTCTCCTCCTTTATCTAAATATAAGTAGATACTGTGTCTGGGGTGCCTGGGTGGCTCAGTTGGTTGAGCGACTGCCTTCGGCTCAGGTCATGATCCTGGAGTCCCTGGATCAAGTCCCGCATCAAGTCCCGCATCGGGCTCCCTGCTCAGCGGGGAGTCTGCTTCTCCCTCTGACCCTCACCCCTCTCATGCTCTCTCTCTCATTTTTACTCTCAAGTAAATAAATAAAATCTTTAAAAAAAAAAAAAAAAGATACTGTGTCTGACTGGGGAACGTTTCCCTTACCTAGTATTATGAAACAGGAGGCATGTAAATTCTCCCTTCAACCACTATTGATTGGACATGCTAAATGGGAACCAATAAACTTGCCCAAGCCCCACAGGTTATTAATTTGAAAAATATAGGATATCTGGTGGAAAAAAAAAAAAAAACATGTCAGAAGCCTAGTGTTTGATTGGTTTATTTGGATTTTGGATGACACATATTTTACATTTCGGAATATGGCTAGCCCCTCACCATAAAATTACTAGAATGAAGTCTTGGAGTCCTTATGCAGACTGCAGTTTATGACAAAAGCCAGTGAGCACCACCCAGTGGCGACCACTGGGATTTTTTTTAAATCAGAAAATTTCCATTTGAGACACCACGAGTTGGCTATTGGGCTTTGATTGAAACTGCCCGTGGGACTAAAGGAAGTAAAATAATCCTGAAACCTGAAATACTCGTGATTATCTTTGGCAGTGTTGGATAAACATGCTAATTAGGAAGGCCACGCCCAGAAGAGCTCAGTAATAAAATGGAAATGGTTTATAGAGGAACAAGCTACCAAGGGAACATGAGGAGGTACTCAACGTATTCAGGAGCAGGTGGTCTTTCTTCCCCTCTTTTAACACCTGAGGAGCTGCCAGATCCTGTTGCCACTTGGGTGGTAGCAGTGAATAGCTCTCAAATCACCAACAAAGAGCTGTTTGGTTTATGGAAGACTGTTGCAAGATGAGTGGTTTCCTTTGAGTGGGAAATATTAGCAATGGTATGCTAATATCTAATAACGAGATCTTCAAAGGGAAAAATAAGTCCTGAATTGTAGCATTGCCAACTTCCGCCGTGTAGACACTCACCATAGACAGTTTCAAGCTACCAGCTCATGTTGTTATGAGTTAGGAAGAGATCCAGTAACATACCATTATGTAGTATTTCCATCCTACAGATACAATAGATATAATACAATAGATGTAAATAACCTCAAGAACACAGATAACAGTGAGATGTACTAGAAAAATTAGGAAGTAATCAGTTTCAAGTAATTATTACCTTTAGGGTTTTTTTTTAAGATTTTATTTTATTTATTTGAGAGCGAGCGAGCAAGAGAGAGAAAGAGAGCATGCGCAGGGGGGAGGGGTAGAGGGAGAGGGAGAAGCAGACACCCCCCCTGATCAGGGAGCCCGATGTGGGACTCGATCCCAGGACCCTGGGATCATGACCTGAGCCGAAGGCAGACGCTTAACTGACTGAGCTACCCAGGTGCCCCTAATTATTATCTTTGTTTTTAATATAATGTGCTTATGAGTTATATCATTTAAATTATAATAATGACTGTGTTTGATAACCAGCTTGCAATATTCTTAAAAATTTAATGATCAGCTTTTTTTTTTTTTAAGTTGGTTTATGCGGGCTCCAGCACACTGATGAACATTATTTAGAAACCAAGATATAGGTGCTAGGCATGTTTATCACTACGGATGTGTCATTGCTCCTAGGCTCTTTCAATGAACAGAATATGGAAATAGAATTCGTTTTTTTAAACCAAGTGTTTGTACCAATATTGCCAATTAAAATTAAACTTTAGGGGCGCCTGGGTGGCTCAGTCGTTAAGCGTCTGCCTTCTGCTCAGGTCATGATTCCAGGGTCCTGGGATCGAGCCCTGCATCGGGCTCCCTGCTCGGCCGGGACCCTGCTTCTCCCTCTCCCACTCCTCCTGCTTGTGTTCCCTCTCTCACTGTGTCTCTCTCTGTCAAATAAATAAAATCTTAAAAAGAAAAAATAAATAAATTAATTAATTTAATTAAATTAAACTTTAATTTCTTCTCTTAAGTTATTTTATTTTATATTGTTTCTCTTTTTCCTTACTGTGAAAGTCTTTAAAACACAAATAGGTTCAAAATTACAATATCAATACTGGTAGCTTTCTTTGTCTCCCTTAAGACCATACAGCTAGAGCCCTGCGTTCAAAGGTTACATGAAATAGATATTCTTCCAGAATCGTTCTGTTATCGTTGTTTTCATTTGTTTGCTAGATTTCTTGCTTGTGTTCAACTTTAGGGTTTCGCTTTCTTTTTCCCTTCTCGGTTTAAGTGACCTTTCTGGACAGTAAAATATCAATATGGTTGGGAAGGTTTTTTTCTTTGACCAGAACCATGTCACCTGACTACCAGGACACACCTGTAAGGGACTTGGGAACATTAATATTTATTATCTTCAGTCTCTGCAGTGGAGGCAACAGGGACAATGGTGCTGGGAAACCTGTTGGGTCAGAAGCCAGCAGTGTCTGCCACAAGGTATTATAGACTGGGGAAACGTCCCCTCATCCTACCTTGTCCAGGAATTGATGAAGAGATGAGGGACTCATGGCCCAGAGAGGGAAAGGATTCGTCTGTGGTCCTCCAGTGAATCAGTGACCTAGGTTACATAATCGGTGCTCAAATCCTGGGCTCATGCTCTTAAATCAATGCTTTGCCAAAAAAAGTGGGTGGGGGAGGATAGTTTCATGAAAAGTGAGATTGACATTTGGACATTTTATCAGTGGCTATCAAAGGTCATTTTCTAAGGTCTTCTGAGGTCACAAAGGTCTGTTTGATGTAGGGCCTTCCCTTAAAGAGCCCAGTCTCAGGTAGATTCTCTTCTAAGATATTTCGTTAGTTTCCCAACCAAAGTGACCTAACCAAGTAAGAGTGTGTCTTCCTCATGTAAGGAGATGCACAGAGGTAGGCTGTGTGGAGCTGGTGTAGCAGTTCCACAAGGCCATCAGGGACCAGGCTCCTCAAACTGTTCTGCAAGAATGCCCTTCAGGAGTGGCATTCATCCTCACGGTTACCTCATGGTTGCCAAGTGGCTGCTCTACCTCCAGGATCTTATCCGTATTTTAGGGAGGAAGGGGGAGGAAGGAACAAGGAAGAAGGAAATGAGAATATCAGGAAAGGAAAACTTTCCCAGGAATCCCCAGCTCACTTCCACTAAAACAACATCACGTGCCCCACGTTAACTACAAAGGAGTCTAGACAAAGTGGTGCTTTGGCTTAGAACATTGCACCCCTAAGCAAAGCTGGATTTGTTAGGAACGAAGAGCAGGGTAAGTAGTTGGTATCTGGCTGCACAAAAACAAACAACTCTAGTAGAAGGAAAAAACTGCTTCTTTCCTCAAAAAACAACAAATGAAACAAGTTGGTAATTCTGGAAGGGGAGAGGTTTACTCACTTCTGACTGGGTAGGGAGATCAGGAAAGGCTGCATGCAGGAGGTGGCACTGAACTCAGCTCTGAAATTGAAGTAGGATGTGAATGTGGATAGAGCCGAGTTGCAAGAGGAAAAGCTGTGAACAGGAGAAATCCCTGAATGACGGGAGAAGGATGATTAGGGTGAAATTGGAGAAGGCAGCATTTTCCCTTCGGCATGGAAAATGTTAGGAAAGGCACAGGGAGACAGAAAGCAAGGGTGAGGTAAAACTGTAGAGAACCTCATTTGCAAAGCAAAGAAGTTTGGAACTTTTCCTATCAGCAGTAGGAATTCCTGTCCATTTTCATTTTCCCAAAGGATCTGTTAAGGCTGTCCCATCCTCTCCATCCCTCACGACCCACACACTAACTCAAGCATGTCATTCTTTCCCAACCACCGCTCCAGGCTCCTCCCTGGCCACCTGGCCTGAGTCGCTCCAGTCTAAGCCATTTCTCCTGTGTCCCCAGTGGGTTATTCCAAACACCCAGACTGGCCCTGTCCCTCTGAGGTACACAGCCCTTCCATGAATCCCTGTTAGCTTTGAGACAGAACCCAAAGACTTTGTAATTGAGCTTTTCCCAAGTGGGCTGGGACTGGGAGGGAAAGACCAGAGGAGAGAGGACACATGGAATTGAGGCCTCACAGAGATCGTAGGAGTGCTGCTTGTCCCTAGATGCTCTTGAACGTCTCATCCCACATAATTCCTGCTTCTGAGGGTGAACAGTCCTCTAGGATGACCAGAGACAGAAGCCCCTGGCTTGCTAAGAATACTTTCTGCTCTCCCATCCCCACATCCTCTTTCAGGTACTCGTCATCTCATCTTCTGAACCACACGGCTCTGATGTGAGAGCCGGTTGCGGCGAAGGCCCTGGCCCCTCCTCATCCTGAGGACCACTGCCGCGCTGTAGATGGCAGGACCACTGCCGCAGCTGGGTGAGTGGGACGAAAGACAGTGCTGGAGGTGCCTGAGGCTCCAGGACTGGGGCGGGCTGGGCTGCAAGGGTATGAGAAGAGAGGACATAAGGGTGTAGAGTACCAAATAACCAACATGGACGAAACATCTGTGTGCCGGGTCCTGGCAGGGCTGGGAGTGGCTGAGGTGAATAGCAGAGTGGGCCAGGGAGTGGAGTTGGGGGTAAGGGTGGGCACTCAGACAAGGTGGTTGAAGGTATGAGAGCATTAGGAGCTGGAAGGCCCAGGGTTAGTCAGGTTTCCCGTATCTGTCAGCCACTGTCCATAGGCATGCTTTCCCAGATGGTAAAAATAAATAATCCAGAGGACAGCAGTGGGGGAGAATCCCTGCAAATTCCTCATCCCCCCCAAGTGACCCAGATGAAAAGTCAAAATCAAGGGCTACTGTTTAAGAGAAAATTAACCCCTTTCTTCCAGTAACCTCAAACAACTCCAGTGAAAAAGTAGGAAATGCTAAGAACTGATTCCTCATTGGAAACCCTGTAGAGTGTGACTATTCCTTATTAACCGACAAAAGTCACCAAGTGGACAATATATCCTACCTATTCTATGTAGAGTGAGGCAGTCGTGAATGTTCTTATCCAGAAAATGCCAAAGCAATCTCTGCTTAGGATGAATACTCAATCAAAGGCCGCCTGGGACTGGGAAGAAAGAAGTCTAGAAAGGTGTTCTGTTTACTGAATGGGTAGCACTTTACCATATATTCAGCTAGGTACACTCTCAACCTTAGGGCATTCATTCTTACATCCATGATAATAGGATACAAGTTCAATGAATACCCCTGTTTTCCAAACTGGGAAAGAACAAAGAAAGGGGAAGTGACTTAGCCAATGGCATCCAGACAGTAAGAGACAAAGGAGAAATTGATCACAGGTGGGGCTAGGAAGGAGCAGAGCCTGAGAGATGGGAGGAAGAGGAAAGTAGGAGCTGAGATGAGGAAGTCTAGCCTGGGGCTGGCGGGGGGTCAGGTAAGGGGTCAGAAGCAGTGTAGATCCTCAGAAAGCTCCCTTGCCATTAGGTCCAGTGTGAGGAGAGAGGATGAAGGGAAACTGATCAGGGAAGCCCCGCCCCTCTGGGCTTCCAGAAGGTATTTCCGAAGCTCCTTGGGAATCACGAATAAGGAAAATGCTGGGTCCTGGAGGAAGTGGAGACAGGAAGTCAGGATGCCTTGCTGACGGCTGACCCTCCCTCCCCACAGCACCGGCCAGGCTGCTCTATTCCTCTTGTTCCTTGGAGAAGACTCTGCAGTGCAGCTGTTCCTTCCATGGCATCCCCACACCCTCTGTGCAGTGGTGGATGGGAGGTACTCCTGTGGGTGTGAACAACACAGATAAGGTCCTCCAGGTGACTTCCACCATAATTGCCCCCTGGGCCAACAGCACCATCAGCCTGACAGAGCAGCCAAGAATGAGCACGAGGCTCCTCTGTAAGGGGAAGAACAAAAATGGAACCCACGCTTTGAGCATCCTGCTACTACCAAGTGAGGGTCCAGGGGGCCAGTGACTGGGTGAGGAAGAGTGGGATGGGGAGGGAGCAGAGCTTTGGCTCAGATTCCAAGGCCTCAGAAGAGAAGTCTTTCTCATAGGCTATCTTTTTCCAGGAGAGAGGTCTTCGCCGGGCAAGACTTTCATTAACGGGCTGATCCAGGGCCTTGTCTATGGAGCCATCGCAACTGCCCTGCTATTCCTCTGCTTCACCCCACTCATGTGAGTACCAGGGATGAAATTCTACCTGGCAGGCCCTGCAAGGCTGGCATGGAAGGGGAAAGACAGGGCCCTTGCCCCAGGGAGCTTAGGGTCTGGCAAGGGAAGAAGGCACCTAATGTGGTCACCACAGTCCAGGGCCATCAGCACTATGCTGAGCCACTAAGAGGTTCAAAGGACAGAGGTTTTCAGCAAATTGCATAAAGGAGGAAGTGGCAGCCCTGGAGAAGACAGCGGAGTCCTGGGGGGTGCTGTCTGAAGCGGGCTGTCATTTGTTTGGTGGCAAGTAGTATATGCGTACCCCAGAGACACATTTGAGGAATTGCCAGTGTCTTTGTGCAATGTCAGGTGCGTAGAGAGTGAAAGAAATGGCTAAAGATGAAGTTGAAAAGGCTTCTTGGTGTTAGTTCATAGAGACTCTTGAAAGTTGGCTAAATGTGTTGGCTAGAAGCCCAGAATGAGAAGGGCAGAGTTGCCAGAGGTCAGGCCAGAGAGTTTGGCAGAGGGGCCTCTGGCCAGTCCGAGCATCTCGGACTCGATCCTCAGTTGGGAGCCATGGAACAGTGCTAAAGTGGGAAGGAAAGCTCCTAGGGCAAGGTGTCTGTACGCAGACCAAAGAGCAAGAGCCCAAGGCCTGAAACCAGGCAGGAAGTTGGTGCCACAGACTACACAGCGAAGAGCCAGGTTTGAGCCAGGCAAGTGATGAGGGGCAGTCAGAGAGATGGGACTTGGGACTGATTGACTGTAAGGGGTGAGAAGAAAGAGGCACAAGGCAGCAGGGCAAACTGGGGAGCTATTTTTAAAGTACAGTCAGCTGGACTTAAAGACCAATAACAACCCTTTACAGTTTGCAAAGCCCTTTCAGCGCTGACCTCATCTGAGCCCCACAGCCTGATAAGCAAGGTCTCCCCATTTTACAGAGGATGAAACCGATTCCCAGAGAGGCTGTGTGGCTTGCCCTCAACAACACAGCAAGCCAGTGGTGTCACTGAAGCTCTAAACCAGAACTTCTGGTCAAGGTTAGAGCCCACTGAGGGGCAGAGAGCCAGAACTGATCAGGGGGGTCATTTCCTTAGAATGAAATATATCAGAGTGAAGCTGTCAAAGAAAGTTGCAGCGGTCAAAGCAACAAACAACCCTAAAGTCAGAGCAAGCCAAGAAGCCAAGATGCCTCTGAAGCCTCAAGAGCCAGGAAAATCCACCATCAGCCCATCTTCAGAGAAGCAGATATTGGTGGGTATCCATTGTGCCTGGAGTCTAGTCTATCAGAATAATGGCAGTAAGACTCACAAGGAGAGACACATACAGTGTTTAAAGGAATCATCATCCTCAATCTTATAGGGCATCGAGAATGCCAGAATATGCTGGCAGATTATCTTACAGATGATAAAGGGAAGAAGGATGAAAATTAAGAGAAATAAAGACTAATTAGAATCAGCAGTGTGTACACACCCCCCTTCACACTGAATCCACATTGAGAAGGGGGTCAAAAGAGCCCCGAACAGTGGTTGTGGCATCAGAGTAGAAACCAAACCAAACTCTGAGTGTCTGGCAGGTTGTGGTCAACACAGTCTGTAGATGCCACAGGCCCGTGTTAGCCTGAAGTGCTTGGAGACCAGCCCAAAGCCAAGGTACTCCTTCATTTACCTTGAACCCCATATCCTCAGCAGGACTTGGAAGAGACAGGCCTCGCTGTTATTTACCATTTATAATTCTCTAGAACCAGGAATGCCCTGCTGCCCTCCTTGCACTCTGCACTAGGAGCTGGTTTATACACTTTGTGGGTAAATCATGCATCTGTTAAATTCCACCAAAATGTCCTACAGTATCTCTTAACCTCCATGCTGGTGTCTCAGAAATGGGTGAGACCCAGGCCTTGCCCTCAGAGAGCAATCAGGCTGGTGGAAAGGCAGCCTTACAGTAACAGGGCCGAGATGGGGGTTATGGTTGCCCAGAGGAAGGAGGGACTGACCCTACCTGGGGAAGTCAAGCAGAACTTCCCAGAGGAGTCTGGGGAACACTGGGTGGGCTCCTGGTGCTGGGAATGCACACGGAGGACCAGCAGGAGAAGACAGAGTTGCAGACTCCAATCACGAGATTCTGAAAAAGGTAAAGCCAGTGCCTGCTCCACATTACTGTAATTCTGTGCTCAAAGAGAGAGACAGGATTCTTTCTTTTTAAGATTTGGATACTTCACTTCTAGACCTGTTTAACATCCTCTTTCTTTGCCCTGCTCTGTAGCATCCCTTACCCTAAACTTCCAGAAAAAAGCAAAATAAACTGGAACTGATGAAGCCTGTGAAGACTACATGCCTACCTGGAGTCCCCACTGTCCATGGAATTACCACAGTCTACAGAATACTCAGCAACCCTGGAGTCTATGACAAACCCAAAGCCCCCGGAGTCTCCTCATCTCACAAGGACCCCTCAAGCCCCACCTGTCCCTCACACTGATTCTCCATTGAATAGGGTTACTCTGGGACCTGGTCTTAGAACGTTTGAAAGCAAACTCTATGATCTGCTGTTCGGGTTAACTAGAAGAAATATGCCTTGGCCTGGGATGGTGTCAAAGGAAGGGAAAATAAATATGAGACCATGGTCCACCAGAAAGCAGCTTTGGAGTCCCTACTGTATGCCCAGAACCTGGAACATACATACAAGAACACCAGGCTTAGAGCCATCGTCTATGGATTGAATACAAACTTCAGTGCTTAGTGGCTATGTGTCTTTGGATAAGACCTTTCACCACTGCCCTGAGGCATACATGGGTGGAGAGTAAGTGAAAAGTGGTGTCCAGAGGTGGAGGTGGAGAAAAGACACAAAATGTGTCCAAGAGCCCACAGGGGGGTCTATGCACTGGAGCTCAGGATGAACAGTGAGCTCCTGAGGTCCCTGAATGCCAAGATAAGGCACTGGAGCTTTATCTGGTAGGATGTTAATCTTGACTCCCTTAGAATGTAAGTTCCACAAGAACAGGGGTCTTGTCTGTCTTGTTTTGCCACCAGCACCTAGAATGGTTCCTAAAATATAACAGACTCTCAAAAATGTTTGTTGAATAATTGAGTGAGTGAGTGAATGAATGAATGAATGAATGGATAAGCCATTGCAAGGTTTGAAGCAAAGAAATAGTGGCCAGATTTGCAATGATGTGGATGAAACTAGAGGGTATTATGCTAAGCTAAATAAGTTAGTTGGAGAAAGACAAATACCGTATGATTTCACTCATATGTGGAATTTAAGAAACAAAACAGATGGATGTAGGGGAAGGGAAGGAAAAATAAAGTAAAATGAAAATTGAGAGGGAGGCAAATCATAAGAGACACTGGAACTCTAGGAAACAAACAGGGTTGCTGGAGGGGAGGTCAGTGGGGGGAAGGGTAATTGGGTAATGGGTATTAAGGAGGGCACTTGATGTAATGAGTACTGGGGTTATATGCAACTGATGAATCACTAAATTCTACCACTGAAACTAAAAAAAAAAAGGAGTGGCTAGATACATAGTGAAAGATCATTCTAGGAGTCGTTATTGAAGATGTACTTGGAAGACTGGACGCAAAGAGCCCACTTAGGATGTTATTGCAATACTTCTTGGCCAGGCTGAAAGGCAGGCATACAAGGAATGAGAACAGGAATCTGGCGTGAGAATGGACCGTAGCTGTGTACTGTTCCCCTCAGAATGGATGATACTCCCTTCCGGAGCCAGATGCTGGTAATTTTCAGAGGTTGCAAAAAGGGTCATCTCTTCCCTGGGGCATTATTTGCGTGTAAATCCAGTGGTTCTCCATCCAGCACAATGTGATGGTCATCCCGTACTCACGAGCAGCTGTTTACATAAGTCCTCACGTGTATAGGCACCCTTTTGGCATGCGGTTCACACATTCCACAGAAATAGGAGCATCCACTTTGTGCCAGATAAGGAGGTGAACAAGCCAGACACTGGCCCTGCCTCCGTGAAGCTCGCGGTCTACACAGGTACACAATGAAGAAATAAAGGTAAAACTGCCGCTTAAAATGTTGACAAGTGCTAGGAAGACAAAGGACCTAACACTGTGGGGAAGTGTAAGGGACCAGGGGAGGAACCGAGTTTGGATTAGAGAATCAGAGAAGGCCCCTCTGAGAAAGTGACATTTGTGCTGAGACCGAACGGATTATTAGGGGCTGCTCAGCACAACAGGAGATGCCAGGCTCTGGGATGCGAGTCCAAGAGCCCAGACGGGTCTGGTCTATGCACCAGAGCTCAGATGGAAGGGTGAGATCCCGAGGTGCCAGACCCTTCAGGGCTTCAAGGACTCTGGTGAGAAGTTTATGTTTTATCCTCACTCACGGAGGGAGGGTTATTTCCTCTCGGGCTTCGCCATTTCGGAAAGCGGGCTCCTAAGGACTGGAGAATGCCATCCAGAAGAGAGACGGGATAGAGGATGGGAACCGGGTCGGGACTAGGTCAAGGATAGGTTCTGACAGAGAATGGAGAACTGGGTCTCCCTCCCGCATCTCGGTTTGTTCGGGGATGGGACCCTGCTCGCGGGAAGGGAAAGGGGCCCCAAGATGCCCTCTGATGGGCCCTGAGGGTCAAGCACTTGGCATTCCGCTCTTCGGTCGATGGCTTCCAATCCACCCCACCACCCGCTTTCCCACAAGTACTGGCGTGAGGAAGGAGTGTCCCTTACACACTGACGGTCCTGCGTCTCCAGGACCGGTGGGGGTCTAGAACTTCTGGCTCAAGATAAACGAAGCGCCGGTTGCTCCGAACGGCCTCAAGCCCGGGAGACCAACGGTTCCACTTCGCCGTGTCTCCGTGTCCCGGCAGCCCCCACACGCATCCCCAGGCCCTGATTGGCTCTGGACAGATTCGCGCGTGCTCACTGCTATGCCTGAGGGGCGGGGCTTCGGGGAGCGGCAGCCCCACGTGACCTCTGGCCCTCGGGACGTTGGCGAGGCTGGAGACTCACAGGTCACCTCTTCCCAGTGAGTCACTCAGTTGTTGTACGCATGCTCCTTGCATGTGTCAGGTGACCCGGCTCGTCGGGAGGCGTTAAACCAGCCAATCAATTCATCCCTCTGGAAAGTAAGCGCCTGTAAGGAGCAAGTCAGCCAATCGGTGAGTTTGGCTACGGGCACGTGATACACGTAACCAAACTCAAAGAGGACGTTGAGTTGTCAAGGAAATAGCGGAGTGGAGACGTCTCCACTGTCCAGCGGAGGACAGCCCAGGGTGGAGCTGTGGGCACCCAAGACGAGGTGGTAAGTCTGGAAAAGGAAATGATTGTTTAGCGGGAAGAGGAGAGAGGTTTCTTGTGGAGAAAACCCATGGCTGCGCCAAGCCCTGGAAAAGGGAACGAAACTTGGAAGAAATCAGAATTCTGAAGTCGGAAGGACCGTTACACACTGGGCAGTAATACCTGCTCATTTTACAGATGGGGAACATGGGGGAAAACAAGAGGGGGGACGGCACTTGTCTAAAGTTTCCAGCAAGTTACTGGCAAAGCCCTGTCTGGAACCACCCCAGAGCTCTCCTCAATCCTTGATTTGAGGTTGTAAATAAATCACTATATTCAATTAGATTCTGAGAATTAATTTCTTATTAAAATTTTTAATTTCAGGGGCGCCTGGGTGGCTCAGTCGGTTGGGCGACTGCCTTCGGCTCAGGTCATGATCCTGGAGTCCCGGGATCGAGTCCCGCATCGGGCTCCCTGCTCAGCGGGGGGGGGGCGGGGGGGTGTCTGCTTCTCCCTCCGACCCTCCCCCCTCTCATGCTCTCTCTGTCTCTCATTCTCTCTGTCTCAAATAAATAAATAAATAAATAAATCTTTAAAAATTTTAATTTCAAAAATTAAAAAAAAAAAAAAACACCTAATCTAACTGAAAGGAGAACTAGGCAAATAAACTCTCCCCTCTCAGTAACTGAGCAAGCAGATGAAAAAATTGGTATGGATATAGAATACCATCAACTGGGGTGCCCAGTTGGTAAGCATCTGCCTTCAGCTCAGGTCGTGATCCCAGAGTCCTGGGATCGAGCCCCAGGTCCGGCTTATTGCTCAGCAGGGAGCCTGCTTCTCCTCCTCCCTCTGCCTGCCACTCCCTGTGCTTGGCTCTCTCTCTGTGTCAAATAAATAAATAAAATCTTAAAAAAAAAAAAAAGAATACCATCAACCAAATTGACTTAAGTGACATTTATAGAATATTCCATCCAACAACAGTAGCATACACATTGTACTCATCAGCTCCTGGAACACTTAGACCATGTTCAGAGCTATAAAACCAGTAACAAATTTAAATGAATTGGAATCATATAAAGTATGTTTTCTGATCACAGTGGAATTAAACTGGAAACTAATAGTTGGAAAATCATCAAGACTTGTGCTTATACAGTTTTTTCAGTGAATATTTATCAGACAAGAAAGCTTCTAAGACCGTGGAGGACACAAAGATCTCTTTGATGTAGGATCTTTCTTCAAGAATCTCACTCTTGGCTAGTTCCACTGGTAGGATAGTTCATCAATTTCCCAACTAGAGCGACAACCAAATGAAGAGGAAGCATGTTAGTAGGCCGTACAAGGTGAATGTAGCAGCTCCACAAGGCTGTCAGGGAACCAGAACCCCTAGACTGTTGTCAGTGACATCCTTAGTCTGTGGCTTTGATCTTTATGGTTATCTCATGGTTGCCAAATGGCTGCTCCACCTCCAGCATCCCATCCATATTCCAGGGAAAGAGGAGGAGGAGGAGAAAGAGGGGACGCGTTTTGGAAAAGAAGAAAACAACAAAGAGAAAGTGGTGCTGATATCAGAAAGGCAGAAGTCCCCAAAGTCTTCAGCAGGTAGCCTCATGGTTGGTATTCTAAGTAGACAAGTCTCTCAAAATATTTGCTTAATAATAAATCTAGCAGAGTCCAAGATTTTTATTTGCATAGCACATGTGGGAGAAGAGTACAATCTTACAGATAGGTGTACAATATAAGAAAACAGAGATGTCAGTTTTAATATTATTGTTACCAGAGCAATAAATTATCAAATAAGACAACTGGTCAGAATTCCATTTTATCTGGATATCATTTTCATAAGACATGGAATAATTTCTAATGTCTTTAGAGTCTCATAAGACTACTT